CCCCCCCCCCCCCCCCCCCCCGAATATTTGTTCAGCTTCATTGGCTCTATAGCTCAAGCTCTGTTTCATGGTGCTGTTTGGTCTTGTCTGCCAGCAGCAGCCAAGAGAGCTGGGACAGGTCTCGCTACGCTGGTGTGATGTCCCTGCTAGGGGATTGAGTCAGGGCAGACACAGATCACATCCACTATTTGTTAGTAAGTGTCTTATTAATTAAGCTGTTACTACTAAGCAGACTCAACCTGCAACTGTTACTAGCAGGTAACTGTGCCCATTGAGCCAGCTTGCTGTTCTCTCACGCACACATTCGTTGTAGCTCCCAGGTGGGAGCAGCGGTGGGGAGGGCAGCCTCCCTCTTTGCTGGGAAGCAGAGGCTTGTACTGACGCCCCTTTTGAGCCGAGTGTTCAGAAAGTCCCTCAGCGCCCCTTGTTTCATCAGGTGTCTCTCCACAGTCCTTGTCTGTGCGCAGCAGCCACCACCTTTCTGGATGTGGTCTGAGTTGTGCAACTTGAAGGGAGTGTGTGCTGGGGGCCTTGAGCAGAGCTGGTGACTCTTGGTGTGGTGAGTTTATCGGCTCTTGTGGAGTCAGCAGCACAGATAGTTGCTGGAGCTCTGCAGATCTTGGGAGACTTCACATGCTGCCTCTCGGCGGGCACAGTGTGGCCTCCTGTGTTCTAGAAACTATTCCTTCATCCATGGGCAAGGGGACCTATGGAGAACATTCATACCAGCTCCTGCTAAACTGCAGAACTGTTATTCTCACATGAAAAGTGATGGACAGGATAGGCGTCTCTGTAGATCTTACTCTAACACAACTGTCCCTGAGCATCTTAAATATTTCAGGTGCAGGTACTGTAAGAATGCCATACTGGTCTGTGAGTTTGGGAAGTGGGGTGCTGGGGGTTTCTGTCCCCTTACGTGTTACACTTTGTAAATGATTTTATGGCTTTAAAATTACATTAAGTCTGCTTTTAAGGCAACCAGCTATGATTGAAAGCATACAAATCCAGACCTAGCAATTTTTTGGTTGCTTTGAGTTTACAAATTCTTGTAATAATATGAAGGATTCAGAGTGAGATGATTTTTAATGGGTCACGTGGATTGAGGAGTCAAAAGGACGATCGGGGCTTGATATAATGGCCCACAGGGCTTGATATAGTGGCCCACATATAGGCAAGTAGTGCCCCTTGAGATACAGAGGAGTATTGTGCCTGGCTTTCATCTGCTGTTGTGTCTCCTATGCAGTTGATTTATAGCTGATATCATTGCCATAATGAACTATGCCATGTTGATTTCTCCAATACCTTGGAGCACCCAGGTGACAGAAGGTTCTTATGTGTGCAAATCTGGTCTGTAGTCAATACAGCCATTAGAGACTAGGGAGCAATTTGGATTACTGACTGCAAGGTATCTATTCCAGGGTGAGCTAGATCCTTCTTTAGGCTTTTTTTAAATCAATACTATGTATCCTATAATTACCATGGGAGGATAGGTACCTAGGATGCATACGAACATCTAAATTTAGTGTCTAACTAGACTCAATCCCATCCTACATTATACCACAGCATGCAATATATTTTTATCTATTATTAACTTGGTGACTTGTTTTATTGCTCAGCTTGTTACTGTCTGCTCTTTGTGTAACACAGCCATCACAAACTTAAGGTGAGGAGAGATTATGCAATGCAAAAGGATTTTTCCGTGTATATGTATAAAACCCCAAATATATACAAAACCGTTTCTTAAAATAGGTTTGCTTGCTTACTTTCAGATAATTGTTTACAGTAGGTTAAAGGAAGATTGCTAAAATAAGAATGCTGTGATGTGTCATTTCTGATGTGCTGGTCTGAATCACGCTTGTATGCAATCACTGTATCAGCTCACTGCAAGGCTGCCAAGCTGCCCACACGTTCCCATGATGAATTTGCCAAGAGAAGTCTGATCTCCTTCTGGCCATCTGCATTTGTTTTGAGTCAGAAGTCCCTGGGTGTGTTTGTTAGCTACTGTATTTTTTCAGGCTTTATTTGTTGGAAGCTGGTTTTGACTTTTGTTTCAGTTTCCCCCATTGCCTTGACTTTTTAAATGTGCTTTTGAAAATCCTGCGGGCTTAGAATTGGGCTGTGAATGTCCTTCGGGTCTCTCGGCTTTCTTGAAAACTATAAAAAATTGTGTGCGCAGCATGCTGCAGCAGATCTATCATAACTCTAGAAAAATTTTGAAATTATAAATTCCAAATGTCAGAATATAGTTCTTCAATTTAAATACTTATTAAAAGGCTGTGTTTAAAAAATGTGCACAAACCAAAACCTGTGCCCTTTTGGCATTTTATAGCTGAAACTAGGCCAGTTCCTCCTTTTTTTGTATGGTTGGTGCTGTCCCCATCGATTAGATTTTTTTTTTTTTTTTTTTTAAATTTATTTACCTTCAGCGTATCTCACAGTCTCACAAGCCCTGATGCATGCCTGTGCACAAGGGCTTATCAAAAAGTGCTTTACCTAAACTGGGTTCTGCCGTTCATACTTCACCAGTCCTCCTTTTCTGGCTTTCTCCCTCCTCGTCCCAGCCAGGGTAGTTGCCTGTACGGGGCTGGCTTTTCAAACTCCAGTGCGGGCACTTAGTAGCAGGATTCACTGCTCTTTTAGGGGATCTCAGCTACAGGCCAAGGTACCAGTGTGCTGGGTACTGTATTAAAGACAACAAAACCACAGTTCCTCTGCCAAAGACGTTAATGGGTCGTTAATCACTGGTTTGTATACTGATTTTTAAAACTTAATCCAAAATGCATAATCCAGAGCGAACCAATGTGCCTCATGAAAAGCCCAGCTAGGGATTTGAGCATAGTTTTTGGGGAAAATGGCTGCACTTCTTTTGAAAGATGGCAGTTCTGTCTCACCAGTGACTTTTCTACTTGCAGTCAAATAATGCCTTAGATAATGTTTGCATTGCAAATGGTTGCCGATCTTCTTTGCTTCTGAAAATTCATTGAGCGTTTTGCTGTGTGGATTGCCGGAGGGTTGCAGCAGAAAGTTTGTATTTTCATGTTTAGTTTTCATATCTTAACTCAATGCTCATCTTCAAACCGTGGTAACTTTCTGCTGGTGATAATATCCTTTCCTCTTACCAACTTGTAATTGTATTTGTCATCTTCCTTCCTTGTCTTCATAAGTACCATTTAAAAGGATTGGATTTATTTTATAAGATTTTAATCATCCTGATTTTTGTTTAAATCAAAATTGGATTCTGCTCTTCAAGCCCTTCTTTTGAATTTTTTTTTTTTTTTTTTTTTTACAACAAATATTCCTAAGAAGAAACAGATCTCTAAGTTAATGTCAGTTGACTGTTTGCAGGGCCATTTTTTCCCCAGGTCCAAAAGAAGACTCCCAATGACAGAAAACTGTGTGCAAATTGCAGCATTAAAAGGATTCTTCCTTCTCCTTACCTATAGGGGTACTTTGTGTGGCCAGTCTGGCCTAAAGCTCTGTTAGCAGAAGATTTATTCATCCAGGTAGTTGCCCATGCTTGTAATATTTTTGGCAGTCAGGACAAGAACAGGGAGAGAAACTAGTAGTAACATCTTTAACTATGCATAGTGATCCAACCCCGATGCCTTGCCATGAACCACATTTGTTTTTAACACATTGAGTTTATTATGCAGCGGGTGCTCAGATTAGTTATTCTAACTATTTCCTGGGGTATTGTGCCTTGTAATGAGTGTTGGACATGGAGTATTTAAAGTATTTATCTGGTTTCTCTGAAGTCGTGTTTGGATAACAAAAATGAAAAATAGTGGGGAAATGCTTGTAAAACTTTATTTTTGCCTGTTTGCAAGGTGATTTTTTTAAAATACCAATTATATAAAATATCTCAGAGGGATTTGCAGATCATTAAGCTCTTAAATGTATCTTAAACACTTGAAAATTCACGTGTGCCGTATTTTTATAGAGAATTTATAAAAATTTCTTTAAACGTGTAAAATTTCGCAGGGTTGTGTTTTGGTTTTCTTTCTTCTGAAATATTCTGATCTTAAAGGTGCTTATCATATTTTAGGTGCCTGAAACTGTTTTCATGTAGCTCATGCCTAGCAGGACTATACATAAGTTTTGCTGCTTCCTCAGCCTAAGAAGTTTTCCTTAAAATAAAGCAAAAGAAAATTGTTCCATTAATTTTGACTTGGATTCCTCTGTAACATTACTAGAGTAGTATGAGAAGCCAAAATTACTGAAGGCAAAGGTTTGACTAGGAAAAGATCTGCTTGCAAACAGTCACGCATACCAAAGATCATGTTTTCCTAAGGACTGCATCTAGTTCTGCAGTTTAATTGCTCCTGGAGACGATGTTGTACATAAAGCTGCGTGAGCAGTATGGGATGATGTGCGACTGGCAACTAATAGTGATGCCAGCAATTTTTCATCTGGGACATCTTGGGGGGAAAAAACTCTTTCTGTAGTAACTGGGAAATGGTTTTGGTCTTTCAGCCAAAAGCATTCATCTCATTTACTTTTCTTCCCCACTCCGCCCCCCCCCCCCCTTTTAAGAATATGGAATTGCAGGGTTCTGTTAATCCATTTGTT